ACAACAAAAACTGTAACCAAAACAACTGTTGTTAATGGTAAAACAGTGAACACGACGTCATCAGAGACGTCATATTCGAGTTCAGGGGGTGGTACGTCAGCGGTACGACCTAATAGTTTATTGACATCAGATCAAAGTTTGTCTTCTCTCATGGACGAGCTGGGGACATCTTTAGGTCGTCGTGTGACATCACCGGCTAACATGTCGAAACCTGTGCCTGTTCCTAGAAAGATGAGTGGAGATAGAAAAAGCATTAGCACTCCAGCCCTTAGTAAAACGGATAGTATTGCTGAAGATGAAGAAGAACGGCCAACGAGGCCTCCTGTAAAACCTCGAGCTAGAACACCAAGTAATAAAGAGAGTGGCGCCCCAGAACAACCCCCTAAGCCACCCAAACAATACTCAAAATCACCGACCTCCAAATAAATCGCTTTAGTAATATAGTCAACTCTCTTGTCGACACTTAATTATTACGGACACCCAGATATTTCGGACCCTTAAAGAAATCCATGTTCCAAAGAAAATAGCTCATTTTAACGTAGATACTTAATATTCCAGAGACTTCGCTGTGATCCCGAAGTTGTCTGCCATAACTAGAGTTGACTGTACCTGAATTGTAGATAGTATAATTACCATAAGAGAATCAAGCTCAATTGTACATTGTTCATTGTTTTTATATTGTTAGAAACCAGTCCAAATCAAAGCCACTATTTAATAGTGTATTTTTTTAACGAGAATTGTAAATGCAAATGTACACATCAATTGTAAGGAATATTTTTTTTATTAAATTGTTAATATAATTTTTATACATAGTCTTGTGATCTTATTTTTTTCGTCAGCAAAGAGTTTGCTGGCTTTCAATCATCACCATGAGATTTAAACAACAAAAGAACGTCGGCCATGTTGGAGGTATGAACAATAGATACTAATGAGAAATCCTTCGTTGAAGTTCATCAAAGATGGCCGCTGTGACGTAACCTGAAAACCAGCAATACTCCATTTTACAGTTCCAGACGCCATCTTGAAAGGTAACCAAACCTTTGCATGAAAGCGAGACAGGAGTTGAGTCTGCAATGACAGATACCTTTTGTTCACAGTTATCTATCACTGCAAGCTCAACTACTGTCTCGCTTTGATGCAAAGGCTCGGCTACCTTTCAAGATGGCGCCTGGAACTATAAATGGAGTATTGCTTTTACAGGACTTGGTTCGCTAAGGTGGTGAAAACTAGCGGTAAACTAGTGTGTTTCTAAAGAAACAGTTGTGTAAAAAGATAAATTTACACCGTAAAAAATAGGTGAAAAAACTTACCTACGTTTCTGACGTTAATCCTTCGTCGGAGTTCTCTTAAGGATTTACGAGCAGATGTCCGTAAAAATCAAGCAAAAGGCGGCWAACCTTGAAAAATCGATTTCGCTCATACTTATACTATTGATAGGGTAGAGTGTCCCTATAAACGCTGTGTAGTTAGTTTGGCTGAATATCGTGTTTTGGGGGAGATATATGCAAATTAGTTGAGGGCACCGAAAATTGTAGATTTCAAGGCAAATTTTGGTCCCACTTTGTGAGCTCGCTATGTCAATTTGAGTAATGCAAGCACAAAACTAACTTTGGATCATTGTAACGCAATGTTTTCTTTACTCTGTGCTTGCTTTTCAGSSCGGTACGGYGTTTATTTYGTACCGAAATAATTTTATTTTCGAAGACGATATTTTTGTCTAGAAAAAGTATACCTTRCAAAAATATCAATAGCACAATTGCTTAACCTTCAAAGTCCTTCAAACTTCGAATACAGAGTCTCCAAAGACAGATCTTTCAARYAATRTAAAGTTTTCTTTGGGCAAATGTTTGTACGCGACGCTACGTGACGCTAAAGTTGCTTAAAATTGGTCATAATTGGACCTTAAAGTTCGTCAAAAGCAAAGTTTATCAGAACAAAACTTACTCAAAACATGCTAAATGAAGAAMTCGATTCTAGTTTGGAGTAGATACGAATATACTGCTCTCTATAAATACATGAAACGTATCCCATGTAACGAAAGTGTATCAATTTACACAAAGCTAGCAACTTGTCAACACTGAAACACACAGGGAGCCCATTCAAAACTTTTTTCGAACTTTTTTGTATTGTTTATACGATCATTATGGCTTGTATTCTATTCCCATGTTTTCTAGTGGATTTTAGTACATACTTAGAAAAAGTCTCTTAAAGTAGATGT